GTAAATGATGAAATAAGATAATACCAAAGTTCTAAAACTCTTGCAAGAGTTTGAGAAATTTTATTGGTACTGTGGGACGTAAGGCACGGAGAGTATTATTCAAAATCGAAAAAAATGATGCATGGAAACAACTAGTAATTAATCAATTGTAGCATTGAAAATTCATACCATAGCGAAGCATAGAAAAATAATGAAAGTCTGATGGGATCAATTCGTCTCGAAAAAAAAAAATGAAGATTTTGACAAAAGATACTGTAAGCCACTGTAGGAGTCTCCAGTTGCCAAAAGACTCAAGGTTATTGCTAAATATTTTCTTGGTGATGCAGATTTTCGAAACTGTGTATCCATTTTTATTATTGTTGGTGTTACCAAGGTAAGCAGGTATTCAAAGTCAGCCTTGGCCATTCTTGTGAAATTTCTGAATTGATCATACAGACTGTTTAATACCTTTCGTTTCCGAGTTTCTTTTATTTTAATTAAATTATGCAGTATAATAAAATTGGCCGCGGCTATATGACTATTCTCCATATTAACCTCGTACTCCAACGACTGGATCAGCCCATGCGTTGAAAAATGAATTTCAGTTTAAACACTCTCCACGCACGCGAACGAACGCGTGCGCGTATGCTCAGTGCGTGCGTGCTCATATGTAAACGCACATTTGAGATATAGGATGTCATACATATTTTAACCGTATTGCTCTTATCAATTTTATCAAAACCCAAAATTTTTATTACCGTCTGAGGCTTACTTTGCGTAAAATAATAGTGATGGGGATTTTTTTTTTCAATACTGCCACTAGTGCCGGTGCTTAGACTTTCAAAAAGCCCGTCTAGTAAAAGCAATCGCCTGATGGCATAATAACTATTACAGCTGCCCTATTGCGATAGGTATCTATAACCAACTGCTCCACTGCGTTATCTCAGTAGACAAAGGGCTCAAACATTATTTGGTTCGTTTCATTTCGCCAGTGAGAAAAATTTCACTTCCCACGCCTACTGGCGGGGAAATACTGTTATCGCGGAAATTATCGAAAATGAGATATGTTTTTTGGATATTATATGACATGTACAACAGGGGAAACCATGTCACTCATTTTCGTCGGTCTGTCTGTCTGTCGCTCTGTCCGCCCATCTCATAACTGCCTATAGCTTGAGAAGTAACGCCTCGATTTAGATGAAAGTCTTGTGGGCAAAAACAAAAACAATTAAAATCGCTCAAACTTCGCTTTTTGATGTTTCAAAGGCTCCTGATCATTTTCAGACAAAATTATTTCATTATATTATTATTTTTAGGTGGTGAAAATCGGAGTTTGGGGGTTGTAGGACGGTATACATATATCATTTTTTGGCAGCGGTATATTCATTTACTTCGAGCCCCATTAGCTTGAGGTACCTCTCAGTACATATTTTATGCACAATAGATTTTCCCACACATTTGCTTTTGAAACAAATATTTGTAGACGCGACATACAGTCGCGGACGGCCGCAACGCAACGTTCATAATACTTTGGTTCAGCACCGCTGAAAGATGGTCTATACATAGAGCAAGAAACTAGCGTTATCATTATCAAATGGGTGGGGACTTTGGGGTATAGACTAGTTGCATGGGCCTCTTCGCCTGACTCGATCCATCCAATTTTTTTATTATACAGAAAAGATTCTCACGGGCTCCAAAGCTTCTTGGGCGAGTCCAACACTGTTTAATTTGAATGAGTCCCGTAATATTTGGACAGCCGTCAACAACAAGCGCGCTGCCGGTTGAATTGAAATCTGAGCCCATTGTACTTCTGCCTCTCCTCATCACTTAAACGTTCACCGTTTCCTCTCATGCTTACTCGATGCTCGGCCGAGTATCAAACATCGATATCATTATTTCTATTCCGTCCAAACGCTGTTAAACTTCCGCACAAAAAACTGCAGACGTTCCTTTATGCAATGCCATAGGTGTGAGATATCCGGCGACTGGTGGATGATGGCGAATCTACATTTGTCTCCCATTGTCTACCAAAAATGTACGTCAATGGTTCTTTGCCAAATAAAAATAATTTTTGAATTCCCCATTCAATTTAAAACAAATGATCTCTCTTGAATTGTTTTCCTTCGATGCGCCATTTTTGAGTAAAAAAATAAAAACCGTTATATTTTCTAACTTGCGTAATTATTATTAATTTAATTGAAAAAATTAAACACATTTAATGTGGCGATCCTTTTGTTATTGTAGGCTCGCTGGTTATTTACTCTTGCGCAATGCAAGACTGCATACACTTCTGTCTGAAATGCAGAGGTGTGTCTTCCAAGTGGCATACTATGCCCAGGATCATATCTGTTCCTATATAAACCTGCACCTGTTTCCTGCTTGGGGCCTTCAATGTTTCTGTATATTCAATCCTTTTAACTAAACTGAAATTCGGTCTATTATTCAGTTTCAATAGGCTTTTGCATTCCACAGACACCTTCTTCTTTTTCAACAATTGTCTGGGACACTTTTATATATTTTGCCATAAAAATACGAATTTCATGTGAAATGTCAACAACTGTCAAACTGGCGGCTTAAGCCGTATTATGTAAAAAACCTATAAAACGTCAAAAAAAGCCTGTAAGATGTCATCTGGCATACTATGTAGTTTTTAGGGTGCAGACAGTCATTCCACGTTTGCTCAATAGGATTCTTGTAGCGACCAACTATGGAGGAATGACTCAATTAAACTATACGCATCGTTGGTTGCATACGTTTTGTAAAGCCGAGTGGTCTGAGTTTTCATCTCTGAGAAGAAAGTTGGCTGAATAGGAAGATCGCATGTGGATGGTTATGTGTATTAGTATAAAATCATTATACTGTATGTGCTACCAATGAAGTGTATCTGTTAGCTGAGCCCGACTGGTTATTTGTGTTGTGTTTTCTGAAGATAGGTTATGTTCAAAGTTATAAATTACGAAAAACTTTGAGGAGAATTACGGGAAATCACCACAGCGTCCGCGTTGTGTTGTGTACTGTTAGCATATACAGGGTGGCGCATCGAAAACGAAACAGACGCATTTACTGGTAGCTCAGTAGTAGATGTCTTATGGGGATTCGGTCTCAAAACTTCCAAAATCCGCCACCAGAGGCGCTGGCGTCGCGCGCCATTGACAGGTTGTTGGACGGAATCTGTAATCGAAATTCATGAGTTGGGGATTCCGCCGCTAGATGGCGCTGTCAAACCAAACGGAATCTGTGTGTCATTGGACACCTGTCATGCGTCATTGGACATCTCACGCATAGATGGCGTTAAAACGTCATCTGTCATACGTCATTGGACACCTGTCATTGATGGGTTGGGCATCTCGCGCATAGATGGCGCCGATTTGTTTGGCGGTGTACAAACCTAACGGAATCTATGTGTTATTGGACACCTGTCATTGATGGGTTGGGCATCTCGCGCATAGATGGCGCCGATTTGTTTGGCGCTGTACAAACCAAACGGAATCTATGTGTCATTGGACAGCTGCCATTGATGGGTTGGGCATCTCGCGCATAGATGGCGCCGATGTCGCACCTGTCTGGTGTTGGCGTGGATTACGGGGGGCAACGTGTATACAGGGGTGCATCGAAAAATAGCGGATCGATGGACCGACGGTATATCGTTAAATCGTATATAGCAAGGCGTGACCTAAATAGCGTGGTGGGCTCCTCTGGTCGGTCGGTCGGTCGGTCAGAATGTCTCATAACCTGTATACGATGTACTGTTATTATTATACAGGATGATACCGTTCAAAATGAAAATAGTATAATGGATATTTTATTGAAACATATAGTATATATATATAACAATAAGGTTGATTGGTGTGTGTGTGTGTGTGTGTGTATGAAATTTTCAGTTGCCTACAGTGTCGTCTGAATCAATATCGCTGTGTTCTGGTCGTGCAGGTAGATTGAATGATTGTTTTAAGTGATTCTTGTAATTATCAGGGAGTACTTTAGATGTTGATACTAATCGACTCAAATCATTCTTCGACAACTGAGTTGGTTCATGACAGACAAGAATCAAACTATGTATTTTACGGTTCAGTTCTGGTTGTTTTTGAATTTTTCCCTAAAAGCCTCGTAATGAGCCTCCTTGCTGGTTATTTTTGGTTTTACCATTTTTTACCTCTTTTTGAACAAAACAATTGCTTGCGACTGGTTTGAATGATTGATACTGTAGCACTGCTAGTGCTGATACACAGACTTTATGTAGTAGAATGATGGTGGGGGGTGGGGAGTCGAAGGAACCGAATGTTTTTTTTTTGTTTGACAACAGGCTGAATACGAAATAAACATAGCTTTCTGAAAAATGTATTTTTTTTAATGATATACAGATACAAGTTTAGATAACAGAGTTTTTAGTTGATGTAACAAATCCTCGCTGGGGCATGGTACTCCAAATAGAGTCCAATGAAATGGTCCGGTCGCAACAACTTTTCTTGTAAATTCATTAAATTTATAGTAAGTTGCGTGACGGAAAAAGTAAATATGGCCATCAATCCATCGAAATGCGAAAGAAATATCTTCAGGTAATTCAGGAAATATGTCTCTTATCCGTCCTCTGTTCAACACATCAGTAAAATCGTTAGAAAATTCTATATATGACATATTATTATAAAAGGTATAGGACCGTCCTGCGTTTGATTGAAAAATAGCATTGATTCGAGCCCTATCGGGTATATCAATTGAAAAATTATCAAGAAATTTAATGGTAGGGAATGATGCTGAGAAATATTTGTTTGGAGACACAATGGTAATCAAGTCACCGTTTGTTGATTGGAAAATATGTTGTAAAGTGTATTGACGTAATTCTGTAGGAACATAATCGACAAGAAGTTCAGGCTGAGATGGGATAATCATTTCGTTTAAGTCTAGTTTCCATATAAACATATCATGTGCAATATATAATCGGTAATTTGAAAACTCTGGAGCAATAGCTAAAAACATAAAATCTGGAATAATATCACACAAATTTTTGAGGATCGGCTGCTTACGAGTTGTAGATCTTATAGTTGTTGTTGTTTTTGGTATTGCTGATGCGGTGGTAGACGTTGGGATTGAATCATATTTGTTTTTTCTTCCATATAGATATTGTACTGCATTTATATCATCAACATCTAGACCACGAATCTCATGCTGATAGAAGGCAAACATAATAGCATTCGGAGAAGCACTATGTGCTATGCCGAGGGCATGTCCAATTTCATGAACCAACACCATAAGAAAACTAGTTTGATTTTTGGGTATATTAGGATTATTTCCAAAATACCAGCGTTCATTTATATCTAAATGGATTTCTCTACAGGTGCCGCTAGAGTCAGGAAAGTATGCATGTCCTAAAACGCCGCCAGCATCATCTAATGTCAATGGACATTCATCATTACCCATACAGTTTGCGCTAAAATAATGAGTCTTGCTAACCATGGTTATAGTAATATCAGGAGGATATAGAGTGGGATTGGTAACCATTGTAAATGTTAAGTTTGAAACATTTTGCCACATCTGAAAAGCCATTTCTGCATCTTTTTGGGCCGCAGGTGTGTTTCGAGGGAAATACCATTTCAGGTCATGTTTCCGAAATGGAAAACTTGCTCTAAATTCAGCATCACTGTATTGACAACGCGGACGATTCATAAATTCAATTGTTGCATTATTCAACAATCCATCCACTGGTAAATTATACTTTTCTTGCAAGTTAGTTAGCAAAGTAGAGAGATCTGTTGTATTATCGATGATATGTTCATATTGAGTTAGGTATACTATAGCGTCTTTTTCGGAGAAATCGTTGCAAAGCACGTATGTGAAAGTTGAAATAAAAAATAATACGTCTACCCACATCAACATCTTGATAGAGAATGATGTCAAAAATCTCAGATAGCAAATATAAATTCGTTTACCCCCCAATCAAAATCTTGACTGAAAAAAAATTAGGCAGCAAATATACAATAATCATACACGAATTTCTATATTTCTAAAATTCTACTCTCATGTGCAACTTGTAATTGGAATTTCCGCCGGACAAACGATACATTCATGTATTACTAAGAAATTATATAAAAAATACTGCAACCGCAATGAATGTTGTTTTCTCGATAAAAATGGTACTGAGAATATGATGCATATAATATGCATATTTACGATACAATTATCTCATGCACGCGTGTGTCATCTCAACTACGTACTTATATTGAGCGAGCGCATGCAGTTTTCTCGATAAAAATGGTACTGAGAATATGATGCATATAATATGCATATTTACGATACAATTATCTCATGCACGCGTGTGTCATCTCTACTACGTACTTATATTGAGCGAGCGCATGCAATAGTCATCATTGTTTCACACTTAACGCACAACGCTGCAAGCTGCAACAACGACCGCAGTACAATTAGTGCTTCGAGAGAGACGAGAGAGCGAAAATTTTAAAAAAAGTAAGTGCTATTTTATTTAATATTTTTCTTTTTTATGTCTCTAAGTGCAACTGTTTTTTTTTTCGTGTTATGCTTCAAAATAGTTAGACGACTCAATTTTTTTTTATAGATGGATTTATCAAAAATTAATGCTGCGTCTTCGATTGTAGACCGCAAACCTATCAGAAAATTAAAGGACCTACCAGTCGGGACACCATTTGCAATCCAAGCAGCTAAAGTGGTCAAGTCGAAATTTGGGGAAGCCGTGCTACTAGATTTAGGACCGGAAGTGCTATTTCTACCACAGCGGGTGACGGAAACGTACCAGCCGGTCATCGACGAACTTTTTCACGGAAAATACTCGATCATCTTCCAAGGGGAAGTGGACGTAGGGAAAAGCCGACCGCTAGCATCATTCAAAATAGTGGAAAATTAACAAAGCAGAGAACAGGAGGAGGACAGGGTGAGCATTTTTATATATTTTTGAGTAATGTGTTTGCTTGAAAAAAAAATGTCGTCTTTTCAAATGTCTTCAAATAAGGTTAAAAAGATCATCAAACAAACAGACGGTGTTCTACTATCAATTGTTAGTCTACGGAAAATTTTATTTGATAATTTTACAATCAGAGACGCGGAAGTGTGGCTGAAACGAATAGAAAAACAAATTAGATTATGTAAACGGGTAATTCGTAGTAGAAGGCAAAATAAATTATCTGTAGGGACCTGTAGAAAAGTAGAAACAAATTTGGGGCATTTTAAACATTTTAGAAAGTTGATTTTAACTAGACATATTGGGGCAGGACTTCACTTAACATTGGGTCAGAGGGTTAGATGGGAAAATGTAGAATCGAGCTTTCAAAGTAGAATAAAAACCGGTTCCATAGCTAATTTGCGTCATAAGGACTTGAATCAATTTTTAGCAGATTGTGTAGTTGTTTTTAAAAGGAAAATTAGGAATATTTTGAACACCCATTGTGCGCTCAAAGTAAATACAACATTTTGCGGGGAGTTTATTAGGAAATCGGGGGATAATGAAATTTTGGGAATTAAATATATTAATACTAAAAATCATATTATTGATACATCAACTCAAATAGACGAGTGGTTTAAGATATATGTTAAAGATAAACTTTTAAACGAATTATCGGAATTTGCTGAAAAAGATTCGGGATTTGCGTTAAATAAAATTATTTCCTTAGTTGTTAATATCAGTAAATATCAATTGGGAAACGGTTCATCTTATATTAGACTACCAGAACCGATTATAAGGAAAAATGCTTGTATAAACATTAAAAATATAGATCAAAATTGCTTTTACTGGGCCATTGTAAGCGCTCTTCGGACTCCTAGCAATAAAAGACATGCAGAACTAACCTCCTCATATCCACACTTTACTGACGTTTTACAAACAGAAAATTTAGATAGTCCTATGCTGCTAACAAAAATTTCAAAATTTGAAAAGATGAATAACATTTCAGTCAATGTTTACGCTTTAGAATTGATCGAAACAGAAAAAAAATCATTTTACATAGTAGTACCAGCAAGATTAACGGAAAATAAACGGGATACGCATGTTAATTTACTTTTAGCTCAAAATAAATATTATCCGCGTTTAAATGATTATGATGCTCCTCCACCAGCGCCAGCAAATGAAGATAATGATTCAATCGATGAAATTAAATATCACTATTGTTGGATTAAAAATCTTTCGCGTCTTATTAGTAGCCAGTTAAATAAACATCGTGAGAAAAAATTTATTTGCGATAGATGTCTGAACTATTTCCATCAGCAAAATAAATTAGTTGAACATGAAAAACTGTGTTCTAAATTTAATAAATATAAAATTAACCTTCCTAAAGAGAGCTGCGTTGAATTTAAAAACTTTACATACCAACAAAATACTCCTTTTGTTGTTTATGCAGATTTTGAATGTCAATTAGAAAATCATAAAGAAAGTAGCGTCGTAAATTTAACTAAAACCATAAAATATCAAAAACACGTTCCGTATAGTGCTGGTTTCTATGTAAAATGCAGCTATGATGATAGCCTTTCTTATTTCGAGAGCTTTCGAGGTGCAGATTGTATGGATTGGTTTGCAAATCGTATGGCTGGTGTTGCGCAATTTGTAAACTCAAAAATAAAAACAAGCGTACCTATGATTGAAAAATTAGACACATGTAAGGCAACATCATGTCATATTTGCGGTAAGAGATTTTCAAAAACAAAAAAAGACATAATCGTTAGAGATCACAACCATTTCAGTGGAGAGTTCAGAGGTTACGCACACCAAGCATGCAATCTGAACTTTAGAAAATTGTTTGTTGTGCCGGTTATATTCCATAATTTAAGTGGGTACGATAGTCACTTTATGATTTCGAATTTATGTAAAAAAGGTCGCTTAAGTCTACTTCCCATCAACAAAGATAAATACATCTCCTTTACGCTGCACTCAGATGAAAATAACATTAAATTGCGGTTTATAGACTCTTTTCGATTTATGGGGGCGTCTCTTGATGAATTAGCTTCAATTTTAGCAGTATCAGAAAAGAAAATTTTACAAAGGGAATTTCAAAATTTAGATGAAGATAAATTCAAATTATTAACACAGAAAGGAGTTTTCTGTTACGATTACATTGATTCGTTGAAAAAATTAAATGAAACGACTTTGCCCCCAATTGAAAAATTTTACAATAAATTAAACGATGAAAGTGTAAGTGACGAGAAGTATGCTCATGCGCAATCTGTTTGGCAACAGTTTAACATTAAAACATTAGGAGAGTATTCTGATATATATTTAAAAACAGATATTCTGCTTCTTGCCGACGTTTTTGAGCAATTGCGTAAAAAATGTTTCTCCACCTATGGTCTGGATCCTGCGTGGTACTATACAATGCCCGGATATACGTGGGACTGTATGCTCAAATACACTGGGTGTAAGTTAGAACTACTAAAGGATCTAGATATGGTGATGTTTTACGAAAATGCTATAAGAGGTGGAATTTCGGTGTGTAGCAACCGATTTTCGGAGGCCAACAATAAATATATGCCCGAATATGATCCTGAAAAGCCGTCCAAGTACCTTATGTACCTGGATGTGAATAGCTTATATGGGAATGCTATGCAGCAACCCTTACCCTACGGAGGGTTCAAATGGGTAGATGATGTAACATCGTTTGATGTGATGTCAATACCCGACGACTCTGACGTAGGGTACGTGCTACAAGTCGATCTATCGTACCCACAAGAACTGCACGATAAACACAAAGATTTTCCGTTTGCGGCAGAACGTAGCGTACCACCCAGCGACGGCGGGGTAAAATTGCCGAAATTAATGGCAACACTTACGGATAAAAAAGAGTACACGGTTCACTATAAAAATTTAAAACAAATGCTAGCTAATGGGTTAAAGTTAACGAAAATCCATAAAATTTTACAATTTAAACAAGCAGCCTGGCTGAAACCCTACATCGAGTTGAATACTCGATGTAGAGCTGCAGCCCGGAATGATTTCGAAAAAAATCTTTTTAAATTAATGAATAATGCAGTATTCGGTAAGACCATGGAAAATATACGTAAGCACCGCGTATGTAAAATCGTTAAATCTTGGGGTGGTCGCTATGGGGCAGCAAACTTGATTTCGAGTTTTCGGTTCCACAGTCGCACAATTTTAGAGGAAAATCTGGTGGTTATCGAATTGAACAAGGCTGAAATAACGTTTAACAAACCTCTGTATGTAGGGCAGGCAATTCTAGACCTATCGAAACTAGTCATGTACGATTTTCATTACACCTATATGCTACCAAAAATGGGTGCAGAAAGGTGTAAGCTCATGTACATGGACACAGACAGTTTTATCTACGAATTGCAATGTGAGGATGCATATGAGGAGATCATTAAAGCTGATTCCAGTAAATTTGATACTTCGGATTATCCTGAAAATAACATATATAAAATACTGCGTAAGAACAAAAAGGTGCCGGGTCTAAT